TTTGTAATGCAATGATTTGGTGGGGGTAAAAAGAACAAAGAGGATGGCATGCAATGATTTTGTGATGTCACCTTTATGAAAAAGAATAAGTAAGCACAGGTTTGTTACAAGTGTATAGAGTGCTGACTTAAAATCATTGATCCAGAATAAGCATGTGCTAAACCTGTTTTATACCTAGTAACGGATAAAACTCGCTTTGCTGAAGGTATTAAATTCACACAACCCTATCAATTTAAATAAAGTAATACAATAACACGTTCACAAATAAGAGACTTGATACCTATTAGAATTGGCAGGGAAGAGACAAAAATCAATATGAGGAAGGTTAAATGCGATGCTCAGTATATTTAATGTGGAAAACCAGATGATCTAGGCCACTGTTACACACACATACAAACACACAACAAAAAAGCAAAACTATATAATATTTTTCTTATATATATATATATAAGTTAGTCAACTTACAGCTGTCAGAGCTGCTTCAGCACCTTTATTTCCCGATTTGCCACCGGCTCGATTTATAGCCTGCAATCGTCATGATACAATTTAAGAGAAATCAAGCCCAGCCCATTACAACAAGAAATATAGCAATTTACACCATGGGTTAATATACATAGCTGCTCAAAATTTCAAGTTTGAAGAGAACAAAAGCATGTTAATCTCAGAAGGCCTGATTTGATGAAAATAAACATGACTTGCTGATGGGAATATTAAAAATAAAAAAATGCATATTTCACCAATTGCTAATAGGAAAATCTACTATACACATTACCTGCTCCATGTCATCACACGTAAGTACACCAAATATGCAAGGGACACCTGCGGAAAAAATGAAGACAGATCCATCCGTTAATGAAATTTAGTCACAGCACTAAAGCAGACGTCCAAGTGACATGCTCTAAAGAGCAACTGAAAAGTCTGAGGTAGGTGCTTAGTAAGAATATTTTCCCGGTTTGTTTTGAATGATAATGGATCCTTTTTCAAAAACGGGTAGCATGGCTCCAACTGAAAAGTCCACAAGGGTGCTTTTTTCATAATTATTCCTGGTTAAAAAATACTTCGAGACATAGTCACACACAAAAAGTGTAACATAATTACCATATGTTGATATGGTTTGAAACACAGGGAATCATGTGTATTATTAGCAACCAGTTACTTGAAATTTAATTTGTTGTCCCAAGACCAAATAAAAATAAATTTGTACCTTATCCATATCGCTAGAGATAGTAATCTAAAACCAAATTGAAACTAGCAATCCGACTCAACACAAACAGAAAAAAAATATATATATATTTTTTCAGTAATTGAGAGAACCCAATACAGATAAACCTACTAGAGGTACTAATTTATATGGAGATTTTAGTGTGTATCTTTTTTCCTTTGGTGTTTCATTTTCCTGATTTTCAGTAATCACAACAACGAAATCTGTTTATTCATGTAAAGATTTCACATTTGCCAATGCATAAGTAAATTCACTTGGCCCGCATAATGAACCTGAATTTAGACCAGCTGACAGTACTCCAGACGCAGCCGAATTAGCTACAGCATCATAATGGGTTGTATCTCCTCTAATCTACTGGTCCAGAAAAGTGCAAAAGAGAAATCCTTCAGCAAATAAAAGAGATAAAGTGATATACAAACAAGAAGATGAACAGAGAAGCTTTAGTTAAAGAAAAAAAAAAACTATCAATCTGACTCCCTGAGAAACTGAATAGAAAAGAACATAATAGGACTCTAAATAAGATAATAAACTACGAATAGACAGAAAGGATCCAAAAGCAAAGCAAAGCAGAAAGCTTACCACAGCTCCAATGCACAAAATGGCTTGATATTTTCGTGATTTCCCAAGTTTCTCGGCAACCACACCTATCTCAAAGCTACCAGGCACCCAAACAACCTATCGCATGTGGATACGAAGTTTTGTTGCTTCATCAAGACATTTTCTTTAACCGAACAACCAACACAAAGAAACGCGCACTCCTAAAGCTATTCAGTTAACCAGCATCACAAGATAGTAATACTCTCGAAGTAAAAACATTGGTAATGTCCTGGTATCTATCCATCATCAGGCATCATTAAACCATGCAAAAAGCAAAATATATGGTAGCTTCCAAATGCATCAGTATCTTAGGAATAGCTTCATTAATGGATTCCTTTTTTTTCTTCTTTGGGGACCAAAACGTTCACATGCATATGGAAATTTCATGAAGGATATGATTCAAACCATCTTTATGATTATTGGTTATTGACTTCAATGCCCATAACATTAGCTTTTGTGACACTGAAATGATAAGATGGGTCAATACTTTGCAAGATGTTACATACTAAAACATTTGTTTGTTCCATTGCGAAAAAACTTCTGAAGAAAACCAAAGGCGCAGGCACGCATTAAAGAAAACTAGAAAAGTGCATGGAAAAAATGCATCAGAATTCAGATGATTTATCAAGGTTCAATAACAGTAGCAACAATTAATTACTCATCATATGCAGTAATCAAATGAAACATTGTGAGCAGTCGCAAACTAACATCAATATCTTCTTCTTTAACCGAATATCTCTTGAAAGTATCCAAAGCTCCATCCAGAAGTGGTCTGGTAATGATCTCGTTGAATCGTGCCACAACCTTCATACCAAAAGAAATTTTTATATTTAACTGAAACAATACAATGAAAGCTGTACAGAAATTCCTCAACCCCAAAAGCCAGAACAAAAAGAATACAATCTTATGAAGAAAACAGGACCAGAAAAGAACAGCAACAATCACAGCAACACCAACAACAATAATAACATGACAGCCTTGATAACAAAAAATTGACCCAATTAGTGTGTCACACGCATACACCGGATTCTGGATGACTAATTATAATACTAAAACAAGAAATTCATGGGGAAAATGTATAAAAGGTAGCAGCACAAATACAGACAATCGCAAAACGGAGACCCTCGGCTGACATAAGAGAGCCTGTCAGATGTCGAACAGCTAATGTCTGCAACAATGTATCACTCCTCTTCTTCTCCGTTCCAAATCCCAAACCTGAAAAAAAAAAATAGACAGGCGCCAAATCAGAACTAAGAATCAATTATAATTCCACAAAATTTAGAAAGGTAATAACCGGAGAAACAAGAAAAAGCATTGATCTTTAACAACTCTGAACCAATTACAGTTCTACAAAAATTCCCTTAACCATACACACGACGCGTGAAAATGTACAAGATGTATGCGGCATTGGATGTTAACCCAAGTAAAGGGACACAAACACAAATGAAAGGCGGAGAACAAGCAGATACGAACCCTGGAGAGGCGATGAGGTCAACGACAAAGCAGCAGGCATCGTGGAATCAGTGGGTTTGCCCATATTCCTCCATGGGCGGTGCGAAAGAGGAGGGTTAAGAGGCAGCTGATTTGCGGGGTCGAGGCGCGAGATGGGAGAAGCAAAAGAGGAGCAGCTTCCACAAAGCGCAGCCATTTTCTTCACTCTTGTGCCCTGCAAGTCTGCAACCTCCCTTTATGGACTGGTGCAGGAAAAGCTTCAATTGAAAAATAAAAATGGGTTCAGGTTGTATCTCTCTCCGTTATAAAATACGAGTCGGGCCAACCCATACTTATCCAACCAAAATGACTATTTATAAAATTTTATATTCTTATTTATATTAACTTTTAAATATAATATTTCAATTTAAAAATATGTAAAATGTGAAAATGACAAGATTTTTTAGTATAAAATATAAAATTTTATAGGGAAAGTACGATTTTTAAAATTGGGTTGACATGATTTTGATTGATTTTTTATGGTTAAATATTTAATTCAAGTTAAATTAAATTGTGCAGAAAAATTTTACGTTCCGAGTAACTTGTGGTATATTTACTTTTTAAAAATTGATATTCAGTGAGTGATAAAGAAATTAGTAAGTTAGCTATTAATGAGCATGTAAAACGTTAATTGTAATATTCGAATGATCAAAAGACATATCACACATTGCACTCATAAATTATGATCTCTCTTTGTCATAATAAATAGAGTTGGACTTGGGCAACCTAAGCCAATTTGGGCTTGGGCCTTTGGGTCCAATCTCTATAATCTTTTCTGCAAATTTATTTGTACTTTTTTTGAATTAGAAGAAAACTCATTTTTAATTGGATTTTGACCCAACCTATTTAGACTCCTCTTGAAGAGTAAGGGGACAATTGCATATGAGTTATAATCGATTTTAAATAGTTATAACCAGTTGGATTAGTTCATATCCAATCACCCAACGCAAAATTCAATTCAATTAAATTCTCATTAAAATTATCAATATAATTAAATAATATTAATCAATCATTCTCACACATCACATCTGTTGACGTGCGAAATTCGGGTCAATGGATGGCAAACTCTCCCTAAGTAAAAAATAGAATTATACCGAATGTGGTCGGGTGATCTTTTTTAAATACTGATTCAACTCAGATATTGTTTTAAGTACAATGTTATTTTAGTAAGAGAATATTCTTCTTCTTCTACTACAATAAATAAAAGGTATTTATAGTGCAAAACTCACGAACACTGTTCACGATGTCAGCACACCAACATTAAATGTAAATTGGTAGTGACATGCGACTCTGCAAGGCAAAACCCACTCCTAATGATCACTTTTGACAGTATGATGGACATGCGTTTTGTCAGCATTTAATGTGTTGTAAGAGGTCGGTCCTCGAAGGATCAAGTCTAATGTCACTTTTTTTTTTTGAAAACTTTTTATTAGTAAATACTTCTCTTTATAATTTTATTAATTTTCGTTCGCCATTTACATTTTTTTCACTGAACTATTATTGTAATATGTAATAATTTTTAATTGTTTTGTTATTTTCTCCATACAAAATAGAAAGATGTAAAATATGATCTTGTTTAACAGAATTAGTCACTGAATGACTTTCATTTAATGATATACTATAATATGATCCTATTCATTTGATTGTTTGTTTGTATTTTATTAAGAAAAAAAAAAATAGGAAGCCTCACAAGAAGAGGAGTCTTTGATTTGGTTAATAAGTAAATGAAAGGATAACTTCTGAAAATGTGGAGGCATGGACATGAGATATTTATGGTATATTATCACGTATCTATTTATTAATAGTGCGTGGCCCGTGCGATGTGCGAGAAAATAATATTACAATTTTATTATAAATTAAATATATAAATAACATTAATCATGATTTATTTATTGTTTTTAAATTAAATTGAGTTGGACACAGTACGACTGGATGGACCGAGAACCGGTTTATAACTAGTCTAGTTCGCTTGAATAAAATATTTTCTCTCGAATCCGTCAATACCAGTCGGTTGGGCTGGTAGGATCGATACTATTTTCTAAATAAATTTTGTTTTATTTAAAATAATTTTAAATAAAATTATATATTTAAATAAAATAGATATTTATAACTTATTTATCAATTAGTTTAAACATTTGAATTTATAAATTGTTTAGATATCTAAGTAACTCATTTTATTTAAATTTATTACAAAAAGTACTATATATATATATATATATATATATATATATATATATTGAAATGTTTATAAATTAAAATCTGAACAAACCACCAATGATTTAATAAAATAGCTTGGTCGTTTCGATGACGGTCCAATTCTGAATACCTTATATTTACTGTACATTAATAATTATTATAATAAAATATTATTTGTTTCACATAAATATTAATAAAATGATATATAAATATTCATAAATCGTTAAAATGTTGTCATAAAAGTATTGTTAATACGATTATTTGAAGTTTGGACTACATCACATTCACGTAATAAAATATTTTCAATACAAAATTTATATTTAGGTTCAATAATCGATTTGGTGTGGTCGAACTGATGTATAACTTAGTCACATGGGACCAACCAAGTTGTATTAAGTTTTTTGACTATTTTAAATATCACCTAAAAGTAATTCAATCAACCTGTGTAGTACCCTAATTCAATCACCCGATTGATCCGATTCTTTAAATATATTTAATTTTATGATTCATATAATAAATGTCTACACCAAATGATAGTATACTATAATTATAAATTATATATCTAAAGATGAATTAATTATTTTTACTTTATGCATATTAATAAAAAATAAACATAGTAATTTTCAAAAATTAAGATTAATTGATTGATTATGCAATTTAAAGAACAATTTTAGCGTTCAATAATTTTTTTTAAGGCACAAATATAAAGACCGAGATTCTAAAACTTTTATTATATTTTGAATTGAGATTTTATAAATATAGAGACCGAGATTTTTTAAAAATAAAAACTTACACAATTAATAAATCTTAGCCAGATTTTTTAAATAATAAAATAAACTAAACCTCGAAATTTAAGGTAACATTTAATGCTGTATGATTTTTAAAGAGAAAACACGAAAAATAATAAAACTTACTACTTATAAGCTGAATTAAGTTCTGACCTATTTTTTTGCTACTATTTGATAAATGATAATTCTTATTATATAAATTTGGTGAGTTAATTCGCTGTTCACAGCGGGTTCAAAAAGAAACTCAAAAATCTCTTCTTTCTGACACTGGTGCATTTTAGTTTGCTAATAGATTTTAATATATAATTGATTTTTTTTTTGTGTGTTTTATTATTTTCTATAGATTAAAGTTCTCATATATTGGTATATACTTAATTATGATTACAATCTCACCATTAACTATATACTAAACACAAGGACTTTTTAGTCCGTACAATATCTTACAAAATTATTATTCCTTTTATAAAAGTAGAGATACGTTAAATTAATCATGTTTTCCCCGAACTAAAATTTAAAATGTATATTAATTAACTTTGAAATTTGATAATATTTAATTTGCTTAAAGTTTGAAACAGAAGTACCATTACTTTTCATGTTTATTTAATTAAAATAAGTTCTTTAATTTAGCATGATTTAATTATGATCTTAAAGTCAGCTAGACGCATTGAAAACCAAGATGATGGAATAGACTGGATTTAAGTTCAAATGTTTTGCCCAAGAGATCTTGATTTTGGAACCATCTGAAACTTACAATCCCGATTCTAGTATTATTCACATACAATCCTAATTTAGAAGATCAAACCCAATCGAGATGTTATCACATAAATAAATAAATAATTCAAGAAAAGTGAGTGCATCGATACTATATATGTTATAGGATTAAATCATAAAAGAATCAAATAGTGGTACAAAACATCCATAAAACCATAATCAAAGAGTAGATAAACATGTCTGGTTTGAAACCTTGTATTCAAAATTATAATATAAATTGTATTGCGAGTGATTATATCATTTGGCTCAAAGTTTGAGTATAATTGAAAGTGATGCTGAATCTGCGTGCTAGCTACAATTCCTGGAAGAACCATCATATGAGTTTCCAAGGCTTTGCGGACTTCCCGTTGTTTGGCTGCCTTTGAAGTTTCATGAAAGAAGCAATATTGAAGTCAAGATGTAGTAAAACTGAGAAATGATCAACTTTAGCTATTTAGGACAATATGAATTGCATGCATATTTTTTTTCATCTGTAGTTTTGATACTTTGAGTTCATTAAATATTCATTTATGCGTTGTCTAATGGTAGAAGTTAAACATAATGTGAACAGAAACGTCATCATGTTTAGAAGGAGCATAAAGAAGTCAACAGGCCTTACCTCAAGCCTCTCGATCGAAAATTCTTGACGACTCTTGTCATAGTCTCTGGACACAATCGTTACTCGAAGACTTTCATTCCCAATATCCTCTCTTTGTTCTCTTTCTATTTCCCTTGCAGAAGCCATGGTAGACTCGTTACAATCACGCACAACGATCGATTTCAGCATAGGCATATCTCCAACCTCCCGAGGTATCCTATCCAACTTGGAAAACGTATCAAGAACAAGATGCTCGAGGCACGGAAAGTGACAGCTGTCCAAACTCCACTGCAATAGATCCTGACAGCTGACGTGTAAGTACTTTAGCAGCTGGAATTGACCCTCAACGGTTACCCACTTATGTCCCAAATGACAATATATCAGTTTCAGAACTTGCAGATGTGGCAACAAACCTATCGTTGTCCCAATCTCTTCCCAATCGGATTTCATGCACCATAAACTCAACTTCTTCAGCGAAAACGAGACTCCAAGGCTCCAACCCAATTTACTCGGCCTTGTTCTCGGTAGAGAATCAACCGAGCTTGACACTTGACGTGCCTAAGTTGAGGCATTTTCCAAATGTCAATCATCAAATGTCTCTTTGGGAAACTCCCGAGGCGGACAAGGGGCTAGCGGAAACTTTTCGCAGTCAATATCAAGAAGCCGCAAGTACGGAATAATTTTCATGAAATCATCATTCTCTTCGGGAACTAAATGCGCGGCGTACACAACTGTTAGCGCCCTCAATGATTTGAAATAAAGATTTCGCAACTCAATAGCCCCTTTCCTCAAATCACAAATCAAAGAACGGAGTGAAGAAGATCGCCAAGAATTAATATAGTGATCGCCGATCACATTCGAATAGAAACTGGTGCGCCGTTGTGTTTTCAATGCAAAATACTCATTTCTCGGAGACTCTAATACGTGAAGAAACTTCTTTTTCCGAGCTTCTTTTACGCACAGGTCCCTCAACAGGTCGTGGATTTTGAAAGATTTTATATTCCCTGTGGAACCAAATTGTTCAACTAAAACCAGGTTTCTATCCACAAGCTCCTGTAAGTATTCTTCAGCAACGATTTCCAAAGACTTACCACTAATTGGTCTGAGAATTCCTTCAGCAACCAGTAGTCTTACGAGCCTTGATTTAGGAATTACACGGTCTTCCCGAAAAACTCCCATGTAAATAAAACAAGGCTTCAGATATATAGGCAGCTCAAAGTAACTCAGGCGCAGTATTCTTGAACAGCACTCATCATCCTCTGAATTCAAGACTGCATGAAAGTTTTTCAAGACATTTTCCCAATACCTACGTGATTGTTTGACCTTCGACAGAAGTCCACCTATCACCGTGATCGACAAAGGAAGCCCTCTGCAGGATTTCACGATTTTCTTTCCCGTTTCTTCTAATTCGGGAGGGCAGCTTTCTTCCTCAAACACGATTCTGCAGAATAGGTTCCAACTGTTATCCTCGTCCAAGAATTTACAGAATAGGTTCCAACTGTTATCCTCGTCCAAGAATTTCATTTCAACGACATCAACAGAGTTAGCCATGTAAAGAGCCACGCGAGTTAGCCTGGTGGTTATAACAATTCGACTCCCGTCCGCATAATCGGGAAAGTAGAATTGCATTTTCTCCCACGCCTCAACACTCCATAAATCATCCATTACAACTAAATACCTCCTACCCGATAAGCTCTTATATAGTAATTCTCCTAGCACATTCTCACACTTTCCATTTAGATCTTCCTCTTGTTGTAAACTGAGAAGACACTGTACTAGGATGTCTCGAATGCTGTACTCTCGGGAATTGTAACCCAAATAAGAATATCGAAACGATGCACGATAAGTGCGTTTTCATAAACACATCTCGCAAGTGCAGTCTTACCAGAGCCCCCCATGCCGACAATTGGGATGATATGACGTTTAGGTCGCCATTCTTTATCTGTGAGCTTACCCATGACCTGTACTATGACATCATCAACACCTACCATGATTTTTGAGTTTGGAAGATACCTCGATGAACTTCCAGTTAGGGCTGCTGTACGATTCTTGTGAAGCTCCTCCTCCACATCATCATCATTGATTTCGGTCATCATCTCCTTGACACAATTCGTGATTGAATCCATATCTTCCGCCACTTTCGCAAGACTAGAAGCTTTGAGAACAAAACGAAAGAAATGAATGGGATTGAAAATTTGTCTGTGAGTGGCAGTATGTGATTCGACCAGGTCCTCTGCCTCGTAAGCTGTATCGGCAAGACGAGCTTCCAGAGCATCTGCTTCTTCTGCGCTGTCGGGCCACGTACATTTTTCGAGAAGCTGTAGCAAGAAAATGATATTTTCGGAGATTGATTCGATTTGTGTGTGGTAAAGGGATATTACTGAAGGGTCGGGATGGTTTCGAAGCTGTTCGATAGTATGTCTGAGAGAAAGAAGAGCTGCATACGCAGCTGCCATTTGAGGTTTTGTGTCTAGGAAAACTAAAACCGGCCAGCCAGCTCTATGTGTGCTGAATGACTGAAAGATGAGGGAAGCTTTATGATTTTATCAAACTCTGCATAATTATGGAAGGCTTTTATTGCACTGGGGCCTTATATGACAACTGTTTCGTTTCTAATTCTAGTTGGCCCTTCGGCCCACGTTAGTGGACTTTTTTAGAGAAGAATGGTAGTATACACACCTAAAATTTTATTGTTTTACTAGTTACTGCTACAGTACTACTGCATTGAGTTCAAAGATCCATTGTTTGACGGGGTACTAGCTTTCCTTTTCCCCTTTCCTTTAATTGATATGGCGCGTGACGACTTGTGGCCTGTGGCCTATGGGGTGAAGTAATTAGGTCGTTGCTGACTTTTGCATATGAATTTACCTGTAAATTGCCTCCGCAGCTTCACGAAATTCAGCAGCATTGACAAACTCAACAAAAGTCTGAATCTTGGTCTAGCCCAAGTAATCTTGCAGCAAAAAGGTTATAAATTCCAACCATTTTCATTATTGTGCTCATCCCTTCCTTTCTTGTTTT